AATTTAATGGATAGAGAATTTAAAAGATTTATTTATTTTCTTTAAATATTTGTAACTCAAAGGTCATGATACTTAGGGATGTACATGGGTCGAACCGAATTTTTTTAAAAACCAAGTCAAATTGGTTGAAACGGTTCGGTTCGAAAATGTTTCGGCTCGATTCAAAACCGATTTGGTTTGGATCGGAAACGGTTCGGGTCGACTCTATTCTAAAAAGAAAAAATTTAAAATTTTAAAAATTAAAGTAATAAAAATCAGTTTGGTTTGGTTCGAAAACGGTCTGGTTCAGTTCAGAAATGGTTTGGTTCATGAACTGATTCTTTAAAAATCGATTCGGTTCATAAATAAGTTTTTAAAAATCGATTATTTTAAATGCAGTTCAGTTCGGTTCAGGTTTTTGGTTATTTTGCACATCCATAATCATACTCTCATCAAGCACTTGAGATATCTCTTTCTAAAAGTCACATTGTCAATAATCATTTAACCCTTCATTTCACTATTAAACCATGTTATATATTTATTGAAATCACATGACACATGTATAAAAAAAAAGAAAAAAAAATCACATGAGACATTTTTTTTACCGTTTGCTCCAAACACGTAGATTATCCTATTTAATGTATTCTAAGGTAAAGTTCTGTATCCCAAAAAAAAAAAATTATCAAACTCACACCTTCTTACATGGGTGGCAATGCCAGAACAGATTGTTTGGTTTGTTGGCATTTGGTATATGGATTATTTTTTAATTCTCGAAAAGTTGTATTGGGAAATTAATTTATTCACATTTAATAGAATATTTTTGAAAATTCTTCTAGGAATCTTATTTTCCCGGATCTAATTTATGAATAAATTATATAGCAAAATGACATCCAATTTTGGAATTTCGGGTGTTGGAAAAATTTGACATTCCTAATAATATTTAATAATCAACTAGACATAGAATCAATAAATTTTGAGCCAATATTTCCAAGGGATCGGATCCTTTGATACTAGTGTCAAACTTTGAAATTTGACACTAAATCCTAAACGTTGTTTTCCGTTAATCAATGATTATCATTTATTGAGAATTAATAGTTAATTAATAAGTTTGATTCTGTAAATGATAACCGTTGATTGACAAAATTCAACGGTTAAGATTTGATGTCAAATTTCAAAGTTTACACCAGTGTCAAAGGATCATGTCCCTGTTCCCAGTAATATTTGTGTCTATTAAATAATATTTTGATCACATTTTCGGGAAATTCACTTTCCCAGCCTATTTTTAGTTAGGAAAAAATATCTATCATTTTAAAAGATATAACCATATGTCATTTTAGATCTTAACCATTGATTTCCGTCAATCAACGGTTATAACTTAGGGTTCGTTTTTTCTGCAGTTACTACAGATAACTTATCTGCAGTAAGTTAATACGACGTCGTTTTGGGACAAAAATCATAGTGTTTTTGTAATTTTAATTTATTTCAGAATTATAATAGTCTTTATATTTATAATTTTTTAAGATTTTAATACCAAAACAACTTCGTTTTGGGAATAAATGCAGATAACTTATCTGCATTAACTGCAGAAATATTTTTCCCTATAATTTATTGGATCAAAATTGTTAATTAATTAATAATAAGTTTGTCCCATTAAGTTTGACCCAATAAATTATAACCGTTGATGGACGGAAATCAATAATTAGAATTTAAAATAATATATATTTATATCCCTTAAAAAGACATATATTTCAATCATGATTTCCGCACAATGTTTTTTTCCCCTCTCTTGCACAGTCGAATGGATTGAGTTTTGGGGTGCACAAGGGAATGCCTTATCTTGTTTTTAATTGGTGGAGCTTGTAAAGTTCATCTTAATCTCTGCCTTCTCATTGCGTGGCTCTCTAATCAAAGGGATTTCTGGTAGTGACCCACGTGCCCTATGGATTAGCATGGGCCTTTGATCCCATCTTGAAACCAAAATTTTTATCTTTGCCCGTCAATTCCTTGCTAGAAATTTGAATGAGACTTATCAAGCCTTTACCAAAAAAAAAAAAAAAGAAATTTGAATGAGACCTTTTTGTTAGCTTGTCTTGTGCAGCGTTATACCATTACCTTGGTTAGGAATCCTCCCTGACTTTTGTTTCTGCGGTCCCCCTGATCCATTTCTCTTTCTATCTCCCTTCCAGTGGCGTAGCCACCTTGTCACTTAGTAGTGCCTTGGCATTACCTTTGATTCAAAATTTTGTATTTATATATATAAAAATATATATATAATTATATAATTAATTATAATTTGGTCATGCCTAAAATTATAATTTGGCACTATCTAAATAAATATAACAAAATTGTAATATTTTTATCTTCAATTTTTAATTTTTATCTTTTTCCTCATTTTTTTTTTTTGATAACATCTTTTCCCTCATTTTTTTAACCACTCATTTGACATTTTACTTTTTTAAACATATTTTTATTTTTTGTTTTTATACCCGTATCTTCTATTATACAACCCCCCTTATTTTATTTTTATTTTTTCCTTTTCAAATCAGCATCCCAAAATATCCTCCATCCATATTGTCCTAAGTCTTGTTCTTCTTCTCAAAACAAACATCAGCCGCCGCCCAACAACAAACTCAATCAACTTCCCTGATGCATAGCACAAATTTGTTAGTTTTGGAGCACAAGTTTTTAACAAATGATTATTAGCCATATGATTTAGCTGATTAAGAAAGAGCATAGCAATTTCATTTCATCTTTCATCAAAGAAATTTGAATCCATTTGATGTATGACTGATTACAACAAGGACCTATTACTGTTATAAATTCTTATATTTGAAATGTTTATCGGAAAGATTAATACATTTTTATATGTTTGTTTTTATATATAATAATAAAATTTCAATGTTATGTCACATTATTTAGTAAATAATTTAGATAAATATGCCAGAATTCATAATAAATTTTTTTCTTGATAAATTTGTATAATTACGATAAATATTTTGATATGTCAAATTTTTTTACACTGCCTAAATATTTTTTCTAGCTCCGTCACTGCTCCCTCCCTCACTTTTCTGGCCTTGCACACATTTTTTCTGCTTCTACTTGAGATATTTACAATTATTTTTTCATACCCAAAAATGAACTTTATGCTTGAATTTGGTTTTATTAAAATGTGATTTTATAATAATATTTATATTGAGAAGTTTTTATCTCAATTATTTTTAATTCAGTAAAACAATATACTTTTTAAATATTTCAATATATATATATATATATATATATATATATATATATATATATATAGTTTTCAACTATAGAAACAATATTCAGCCTCACTATACTCATTACACGTGTGATTTATTATTTTTCATATTAGAATATTTTGAATTGATATATTTTTATAAGTATTTGAATATTTTTATAGTTTTTTGATATAAATTATAGATTTACATACATTTATTGGGTTATGCAGTTTAATCAGTGACCCACTAATCCAATATCTCGACCGGATCAAAGACTAGATCAAGTTTAACTACATTGCTTCACATTGAGTGAGTGATTAATATTTCAATATAAAAATAACGAAACATATCTTTGTATATTCTTTTGTTAAGTTGAAGTTTTCTTTCTTTTTTTTTGTTTATGTTATTTTGTTTTTTTAATATATTTAAAGGCTTTAATATTTCTACAGTAAATATAGATAAGTTATCTATATTGACTCTTAAAATAATATCATTTTGGATTGAAAAATAAAAAATTATAAAAAAAAAGACTATTATAATCCTGAAATAAATTATAATTACAAGAATACCTTGATTTCTACTCCAAAACGACGTTGTTTTGGGCTCAATGTAAATAAGTTATCTATATTGACTGTAGAAAATGGCTCAATTATTTTTATAAACTTTTTAAAAGTAAGTATACAACTTTTTTTAAATTCAATTTTTTTAGATCTATGCATATTTAATTTATTAAATATATTAATTTAGATCATATCAAATCATAAAGGAAAAAATATTTATTCTTTTAAATAACACAACTTATATTCTTTCACTCTCACAAAGAGATGAGACCCACATTTTTATTTTTTTTGTCAACTCTCTCCTCCTTTATTTATCTCTTTCTCTATCTTAAAATGACACAACTTTACATCCTTTAAAATGACACACACTTCACCCAATCATAAATTCTTGATAATTCGCATTGCCTATTTACAACTTAAGTCTACCATTATAAAACTCTTGATATGTGTGGAGCCCTGGTATGGATTCATAACAAGTTGTCCGAATCAGATGATAACAGCAGTAATCATAAGGATAATATTTTGATTTAATTGAAAACAAATAGGACACGTGGCAATTGAGGCATAGTAGTTTGGTACAAAAAAGTATCTTTAGGAGAGGTTTAAAGCTTTAATCCTGGACCCGCTCCGAATCGAATTAGTTGCGAAGCAATGAACCGATTAGAATATTTTCAAAAAAAAAAAATTGTCTCCACCACGATTAGGAGAGCTTTTTCGATAGTACAGAAGTAACTACATTCCTTTTAAAAGAGATACAAAATTGGGATTTAAATAAAAATAAAATTAAAATGGATTTAAATTGGATAAAATTTTCCTATTAAAAAAAGATAGATTATTCTACCTATTATTTTTTTTACTTATCTTTATCTACTACTCTAAAATATCGTTAGATTAGAATCTCAAGAGGAGAGAAGAAAAAAAGATAAAAATTAGTTAAAATTCTGTTATAATAATATTTTAGAATGATAATTAAAAATAGGCAAAAAAAAAACATAGGTAATTATAGACTTATACTACCTAAAAGAAATTCCCAAAATCAGAGCCAATTTTATTCTGGACCATGTGCCTTCTATCTTTGACAAAAAGGGTCACAGCTGCACATTGTGACTTTTCTTTTTTTGGTAATCTCACGTTGTGACTTTTCTGACAATGACTATATACCAACTACTTGATTAAATTCGCCACTATTTTGTACTAGTACACTTACTGGTCATGTATAGTGATAGTACTCTTCCAAGTTCAAGGCCTCTATAAATAGCAACACCTATGCATTGAGATAATCACCTTCACAAATAGACTCAATATTTTCTGGAAACAAATAAGAAAAGCATCAGTAATGGAGAGGAAATCACTTGCTGGGCTGTGCTTCTTCCTCATTGTTCTCTTAGCTGCTCGTAAGTCCATATTTTAATGTGATTGATTTTTCTGTTTTTATGGCAAGTTGTTCATAACTCGAGGTGTTCTTTGCCTCTGTTTTTGGATTTTTTATTTATGTGTTCAATAAGAGTTTCCAAACAATAAAATGTGTTTGATAATACATTTTATTAGATATGTGCATTTAATAAATGAGATCTATTTATCTCATATTGCATGAGATAGCTCATACAACATAGACAAGATATTGAGATTAACCTTTTTAAAAAAAGAAAAAGAAAAAATAGTGAATCTCACTAGTTTGTCTCTGTCGCATGAAATAATTATCTCATAAATTTTATGTAACATGAAATAATTATTTTCCTTAATAAATTGAGAGTTATGTTTGTTTTAATTTTCAAATTTGAATAAATGAGTAGTATATTGGTGATTTTTTTTTAATTTGATTCCTAGTTAAACGGTTCACTCCAGTATAATTAAATCCGAATCGATCATCAATTTGGTCCAGGTACTTAGACTCACTTATTCAATAAATTAAATTAAATTTATGTAAAATTATATAATAAATATATATAATTAGCATGCACACCTTTAATATCTAGATAAATGTGATTTCTCAACCTTTTATTTCTCTTGGGAATTGCAGAAGAAGTGGTGGTGCAAACTGAGGCTTGTCAGAAACCGAGTGCTTTGTTCTCTGGTGGATGTGTTGGCACATCTGGCAACCAACAATGTGACTATCTGTGCAGGAGAGGAGAAGGTTTACTCAGTGGCACTTGCAAAAGTCTGAAGTGCGTTTGTGCTTGTTGAGTAATTGACCCATCATCACTATGAGATATAAATAAATAAACCTAGCTATAACTTCTCATATATAGCTAGTTCATGTTCATGAAATAAATCACATATTAATTCACTTCCCTTTGGGGGAAGAGAATTAATTATTATAGATTAGTGTATGTATCTCATGCTAGCTAGCTCACAGGCATGCTGTTCTTAGTTCTATGTAAGTGCTACAATGTTGCTTCCTTGTATGGTGTAGCCATGCCATAATCTTCATATGCAAACAAATAAAGCACAAATTAATATGAATCCACCATCTTGACAGAATTTGTTATTTTCTGATTTGTAGAAACATGGTGCGAATGCTGTAAAGAACCACTTCAACCCAAAACCTTAAAAGGTGTTGGGTAAGGGATTTTTTAATGATTTATATTATTCTCTAACATACTCCTCGTGCAAGAGCTCTTTGGGTTAGAAGCGTGGATATTGCATAGGTCCAATTTTTGATTTATCTTTTGTGCTTTTATTTTAATTCCACTTTAAAGTGGGGGCGGTGGTGAGGATCGAACTTGTGACCTTATAGACACTCAAGCTCTCTGATATCATGTAAAGAACCACTTCAACCCAAAACATTAAAGTGTTGAGTAAGGTCCTTTTTAATGATTTACATTCATGTAATTTAGATAAATAACCTCCTTTTAAAAGTTACAATCAAGCAGATAAACAAAGGGCATTGTTTTTCTTCTGCGGGGAGATAAGCGATTTTTCCTGCTGATAGAAACCTGGGTCCCATCAGCTTTTTGAAAAAAAATAAAAATTGGGCACCTTTTACGAACTGAGAGTGACAGGAGATGGTGAATGACTGTAACCTATGTAGCATCGACACTGACACGGGACACGTGACACGATACGACACGACACTCCGACACGTTAATTCTAAAAAATGTTAAATTTCGACACGTTAGGACACGTTTTAATATTAAATAATATATTTAATTTATGTAGTATATATTATCTTTAATATTCAATAATTTAACAAAAAAATGTATCTAAACTTATAATATTCATAAATTTTGCAAAGAAACATAAGATATTCCAAATATTTATATTAAACTCAATAAAATGATAATCGTAATTTAACGAATCTAACAGTTTGAACTAAAAACTCAATGCAATTTAACTTTTGAACCGTTTTTTGAATTTCAATAACACGTATTGGAGTGTCGGGAAGTGTCAGAGTGTCCGAAAGTGTCAGGAAGTGTCGAACACGACACGTCAAGATTTTTGAAGTGTTGATGCTTCATAAACTGTAACATGAGAATCAATTTTGCCATAAACAAAATACAAGCATTTTCACATTAGGCAGAACATATGATGATGCTTCAGTTTTACACTGACGTCACTTTAAAATATATGTAGCTGTAATATGATACCAGTAACAAGATGAAAAAGCTGAATCATCTATGTTTTAGTCACTAAAGTACAAATTCAGCATTTCCAAATTTTACACTTTTATTAACCTTTTTATTATTTATAACTAAAGTACAAATACAGAGGAATCGAGTTGTGCTTGATAACATAGTACGGAGACCAATACTGAACCAAAAGTGGCTTTTAATGCAACGATAATAGTAAAGGGCCAGTCACGTAATAGCCAAAATTAAACCATGAGGAATTTATAACGGGAGCTTGGGTATGTTGAGAGAAATATTCTTAGTATCAATTTTCTACTACCAACTCATTACTCATCTAATCACTATTGTATCAACATTTTCTCTTTTTTTTAAAATTTTTTAACATTCTCCCTCTTTGATTCAATGATGATTAGATAAGTAATAAGTTAGTAGTAAAAAAATTTGATAGTAAGAATATCCTTCCTCGTGTTGAGATACTAAGTTTTCTATAGGGTATGAGAAAAGTTAACGTTTTGAGTTAATTGTTACCCTTCGATTTTGGAAAACTAGCACCCAGGCACTAACGGCGACAGTCAAGAGGGAGCATGACTATTGATAGGAGAAATTTTGAAGCCACACACAGCAGAAGGGGTAAATAATAATTTTGAACCCTGGATGTAGGTGATGAAGGGTCGGAGAAATAAAGAAACTCATGAGAACAAAGTTAAAGCCAAGCAAAGAATTGAAATCCAGAATGCAAAGAAGGCAGGAAATAATTTTAGTGTGCTGACAAGTCAGGAGGCAAACGAAGAGGTAAATGTTGAGCTTGGTGCCATGGTTGTGTATCAACCACCATTACAGAGCTCTCCTCAATCCAAAATTAAGAAGTCCACTTCTCATTCAATCTCTTTGGTTGAAACCAAGTCGAGATATAAATTGGTGGGTGACCAAAGAGAAGGGATGTTTAGGAGTTTGAACTATGAACAGGGTATTACTGATAAATCTTCACAAGGTGAGAGAGAAACTAAGGATACTAATCATCAGGTATCAAAAGAAATGGAGCATGTTTCTTTCAAGAGGCATACTTCAGAGACAGAAGTTTTGAAACCAGTAATCCAGCAAGTGAAAGCCACTGATAATTTCAATCAGCAAGGTAAAAAATGAGGTATAGGGAGATCTCAGATAAAAAATTCATTTGGTAAAAGGGAATTGGATCCTAAGCCACCTGATTTGTCAGTGGTGGATAAAATCCAATCGTGAGAAGAAGTGTTTCTAAGCAGAGGCGGACCCAGGTGGGGGAAATATTTTTTACGGTCCAGGACCACTTAATGATTTGGTGTTTTCTCTCACAACACTAATTTTTTCTTTCCTTTTTTATCCCTGCTATTTTTCTTTTTTTCCAATTTTATCTTCCCATTTACACTAAGGGGGCATTTGGTTGAGGAAATTTTTTTGAAAGAGTAGGAAAATTTAATAGATAGAGAAATGATTTGAAAGATAGATAAAGTGAGATAGGTAGAAAAATGTAAAAAAAAGTTGTTTGGTAGGGAAAAATTTTACTGGGAGAATTAGGTAACTTATTGAAATCAACAGTGTATTAAAAGCCAGATAACCGGTTTTCCGAAAAATCCCACCTTCAAATTGGGTTTCTAAATAGTGCGGATATCTATGTTTCTCATAAATCCATACAAATTGGATAGATGGGTTTTTGGTGAAAATACGTTGAAACAAACATGGTATTTCTAAAAGCCATACTTGAGAAACATAGATATCCGCTGAAAAGCTCCCAACCAAACACCACCTAAGGGACCACCTAAAAAATGGTGGTCTCGGACCACAATAAATCCTCTCCCAGGTGGGCGCCCATGTGAGCACTTGCGGACAAGAAGATTTTAATTTATTTTTTTTTGGCAGATTTTCTTATTTGTCTTTTGGTTCAATATTTATAGTAAGAGTAAATATTTTTTTAATCCTTAACAAAAAATACGGTCCCCATATTAGTCCCTTATAAAAAAAAAATTAGTCTTGAGGTTCCTAAGAAATTCAAAGTGAATCAATTTAGTTAAAATAGTGATCTCTCACAAATTCAAAAAAGACCCATATTAGTTGCTCAAAAGGACTAAAATGTGTTCACTTTAAATTTCTAGGGACCAGGTCACTAATTTTTTTTTGTAAGGGACTAAAGTGGGGACTGAGTTTTGAGTTTTTCGGGAGCGCTGCCCCCGAACTCCCACCACTAAATGTGCGGACATAAAAAATTTTTCCTGGATCCACCATTGTTTAAGGAAGTTTCTTTGATAGAAGGAAAAACCCACCAAGAAAAAAAGATGGTGCAGGTTCCCTTAAACCCTGCAAATCAAACATCGATTTGTTAATAAATTTGCTCATCTGGAATACAAGAGGAGCTGCTAAAAGGAATTTGGTGGTGCTCTTAAGTCCATGGTCAGAAAAAATGTTGTTGATATTGTGGTGCTCTTAGAACCCATAACTCAAAGTGGGGTGTGTATAAAGCTAATGAAGAAGTTGGGATGTGATTGTATTCTTGTTGAAGAAGCTCACGGTTTTGCTTGTGGAATCTGGATCATTTGGAATAACAAAAAAGTAGATGTGGCTCCTCTCTCCTAATCATCTCAGTTCATTCACTGCAAGGTTAGTTTACTTTCTAGTCCAGTCCTTTATTTTTACAGCTATTTATGCTAGTCAATCCCAAAACTTAAGAGATAATCTATAGGAGGAGCTACGTGCTCTGAGTGGAACAATCTCTGGTCCTTGGGTCCTGTGAGAAAATTTCAATGAAATTGCCTATACTCATGAAAAGAAAGGGGTACTACTGTTGATCCTGTTAAGTGTGCTAAATTTGCTTCAGTTTTAGATGAATGTCAGATTGGGGATTTGGGGTGTGATGATTCGATATTTACTTGGCAAGATCCTAAGTGGCCTAATTTGAGCAGAATTTTCAAGCGTCTTGATAAGGTTGTGGCTAACATGGATCGGAGATTATTATTCGATGAAGCAGGAGTCTCCTCTCTTCCTCGTTTGTTATCTGATCACAACCCTCTCTTAATTAAATTATTTGAGAATCAAAGTGGCAATGACAGGAGGCTTTTTGTTTTTTTGGCTTGGCAAGAACACACAATGTTTCTTGATTTTCTGAAATCTAAATGGGAGCATGATTTTGACTTTCCTTATCTGCTCCAAAGGTTGGTCCCATAGTTTAAATTTTGGAATAGCAGAGTTTTTGAAAATATTGATAGAAGAAAAAATGGGATCATTGAAACAATAAATTTTATATATATATATGGGGAGGGATCTTTTAACTCCAGAGTAAGACTTAAAGTCTTACTCATCATCTCCACCTTACATTTATTTTAAATCTAAAGGTCACAATTTATTTGATTTAATAGTCACGTGAGTTCCTCTACTTTCTTTCTTTCTCTATCCTTTTTTTTTTATCTTCTTCTCTCATCCATATCCCTTTATCTGCTGCTGTCGTACCATTGGGGACACATTTCATCTTCTTCTCAAAGTTACCAATTCATCTCCTTCCCTAGCCATTTTGGTTCCTTCGCTGTGTGCAGTTTCGTATTCTCCTTTTCTTATTCCAAATAATTTACTCCCTCCCTCAGTCCTTTTTTCATAACTGTCG